TCCCACTGCCTGTGAGCCCCTGGAGCCCCTGTCTGAGCCCAGCCCCATTTTCCCTCACTAAAACTCATCTGTGGCCTGTTCCTAAAGTGGTTCCATGGTGCCTCTTTCTCTGTCCTGGAAGGACCCCCTCTCCCCACCCAAGCACTGTCCCTGTGTGTCCCTTCAGAAGGTGGAGACCCCCATCTCCAAGTCCCTAATAATCAACATATATCCTGGCCTGGGAAAGCAGCCTTTTTCCCCTCTGAATTCCCCTCGTAGGTGACTTGTGGTTCCAGCCACAACTGTGAGTACTCTGGGCTATCTCACTGCACCCTCTTGGGGCAGCTTGATTGGCTGCAATACCAGGTCCCAGGAGACCTTCTTGTGCCAAAGCTTACCTATTAGACACCGACTTCTGTTAGTTGTCCACTTTCTCTAGGAAGCAGCACGGTGCAGGTGAGTGTGTGTGGCAGCCTGGGCTGGCCCATGAAAGCCGTGCAAGCATTCAATCTCTCCCTATGCAGTGGTGCTGCCAGTCTTACACATATCTGGCTTTGGGTGCTGGCTATAACCACCAGATGGTACCTGGAAGAGCCAAAGCAGAGTAGGCTTCAGCATTCTGCTCTGCTTTTGGTGCCATTTGATACCTCTCCATCATTCTGGCTGTGCTGCTCTGCAGGGATCATTTCTGAGCCTATCACAGGGCCCTTGCTCAGTGTGGCCAGAATGTCCTTTTAGCAAGTGTTTTAGGGGTTACTATACCTTACCACATTCGCTGGTTCTTTATCTCAGGCACTGTGTGCCCAGCACCTGGTCTCTTTACAGAGTTCAGGGTTGCCCATTTAACCCAAGGAAACTAAACTCTTTAACTCTGGGGTCAGTGGGAGGAAGAAATGAGAGGAGAGGCAGTCTGGTTGGTCCCCTTGCCACTCTGAGTGTGATTCCACTGCTCCTGGGTAAGATCAGGGCTGACTCCACCCAATTCCTACCTTTGTGTTGGGTAGTTGGGCACCCATCTCTCCTATCTCTCCTGCTCCTTACTCCTAAGTGCCTTCCAGGGACACTCTCCAGATCTGGGAGTTTGTAAAATTGTAACTGTGGCTTTAATTTTGCTAAGAATTTTTTTTTTTAAAGACTTGTTCTGAACCCAGTCCCCTGACCCTGGACTTGACTGTGCTCTGGGACCTGTGATCATTTTGGATGGGAGTTTATGTGAGCTGCTCTATCTGGGGAGGTCCTTTGATGTTCTCATAGATTGAGTGGTTTCCTTGCTCTGGTCCCCTCCCCAAGCACTGGTGCCCCTGAGGGTCCTGAGGATATTTTCTGGATCTGGGACCTTCCTCCCTGACTTAGCAATCAAAGGCATCAGCAAATTTGGACCCCTCCACTCTAAGGAATATTTAGCATTTCTATTTACCTCTAGAGTGCCTAGAAACACAGCATTTCAAAGGCTGTGTTTGATTACAGATCTATTTTTTTTTGCCAGAAATTTGCATATCGAATAATACAGAAACTGATGATGGCAGTTGAAGTGGTGTCCTGTGGGAAAATTAATCAGTCCTGAAAACTAGTGCCAACTGCCACAGCAGCAATCTTTGAGAGGGAACCGCACCTCGTGGGTGGTATTTCAAGTCAGGCAGCTGAGGACTGTGGATTGAAGTGCTCTCTGTGTCTGAGTTCTGCTGTGGACTCAGAGTCATGGACAAGACTATGTTTGCTTCTGGGCTGGTTCTCAGGGTGGGGGGCTCAGGGAGCCCAGGCATCCTGGAGATCCAGTCATTCTCATGGGAAAAGAGAGACCCTGTGGCTTGTATTGCATGACCCTGCCGAGAAGGTGGGCTATAAGATGCACCCCTTCCTCCTCTCACCCCCTGCACCAAATAAAACCCCAAACGTATGAATTAGCAGATAGCTTGGAGAGAAGAGTGTTTTAATCTTGTGTTTCCACTCTGGAGATTGCAAAGGATTAGGAGATTATTCAAAAAATGACTTTAAATTCCTAGAAAAAGAGTAGATTCTGGCATTTCTGTCTAATTACAAATGGCCAAGAGAGACTGGGGACTTGGCCTGGCCCTCACTGCTTTCCAAAGAGGAAGAAAGGCAATGGAGAAAGGTGTATGGCAGTTGTAGGAATGGCTAGACCATGAAGAAGAGCTCAGGTGATCCAAGCGAACCATGTTGTAATCTTTGTATTCTTTCCAGCCACTGGGAATGAGCTGAAATGTGCCTGGCTGGCTGGTGACTTAGAGTCAGTTGGAGAGATGACAGCTGACCCCCAATGGACCTTCCTGGGTCTCATGACCTTGTGGAACATGTCTTTAAGGTGAACCATCTGTCCAAAGACACAGGTCATTCAAATAACAAAACTCCACTTTAGCCAGTGCACACACGGGGTCCTGGATCGGGAGGGGACAGGGCACTGCTGCACAGGGAAGAAAATTAGCATTTTTCTGTAGAGAAACTGATAAGTGGTGCTGGGTCCAAGTGGTAGGTGACCTTGCATTTGAGTTAAAATGCTGCTGGGAAATAAGAGAAGATAAACATGAAAAGAATGCAAATGAATTGCAGCGGACAGGAGCCCAGAGCCCTGACTTCTCCACCATCCACCAGAGATGGTTGTGTGATGCCTATAAATAGACACTTAAAAACCAATTCTAAATTGAGTTCAGATGTGGGCCTGTTTCCTCGTATGGAAGTGTTTATGTAAGGTACAGCACGCTGCCCTTGCTCCCGAGGGGTTTGATGATTCTGTGCCTTTGTTGGGAATTTGAGTGGAGCATGTGGGGGATGCTCGGAAACAGATGAATGAGACTGTCCTTTCAGGGGACCTGCAGACTCAGGGGAGACCCAGGGAGAGCTGTGCCGGCTCCCTCCAGGGAAGGAAGCAATGGGCAGGCCTTCCCTGACAGAGGAGATATCCTCAAACAGGTTCTGAGAGTCTCCAAGGTGCTTCTGGGCCAGGAACCAGTGGGAGCAGAGTGGGTGCAGGGCATCACATGGCAAAAGACAGGAAGAACACTTTGGTGTTTTCTGGTTTCTCTTCCTCCTCTTAAAAAGCTACTTCGATTCAACCATGGGGTTGCTTGCCATCCTGATGACCTTATCTAATCCTCTGAACAACATAGTGAGATTAAGTTTCCACCCCCTTAATATATCACAATAGGGTTTAAATTCCAACATGAATTCAGAGGGGACAAACCATATGCAAAACATCCACTGATTGCTCTATTTGGGTCATAGAGCTAACTTGTAACTGAGTGAGGACCCAAGGCCCCATCTCCTGACAGCCAGTGAAGTGTCTCGTGACTAGATGTAACATTTAGTTCATGCACTAATCCAGAAATTACTTAATTCTCGAGATCCTCAGATGGTGAGCTTTGGGGGAGAAGGAAAAATATTTGATGCAAATGTGATCCCAAGCGGTATTCCAGAGTTTCACCTCCCCAGCCACCTTTGAAATCATTCTTATTTTCCATGCTTTGTGCAAGATGGAACTGAGGCACGCTGCAAGAGGCTGCAGAGGGCTTTGTTAATGCTCACACAGGAAGCAAGTGGCCCACACTGCCTGAGTTTGGAAAGCCTGTGTGTGGTTGAAATGCCTTACCTGTGATGTTTGCTTGGGTGGGAGAAAGAAGCCTTCTTTCAAAGGGCCAGAATCTCTGAAGCTCAGAGGCACAGATATTGAAGGGCAATTTATGTATAATAGCCTTGGAAAGAAACCGAACAGCTATGTGAATGTCAAGTTACCTCTGAATAAAAGCCAGCAGATTAACCATTTTGCAGTTCTCTTTTAACAGGTGACTTAGTCAAAATGGAAATCTCCTCAGCCTTCTAAGGGATATCCTGTCATATCCTGTCAGTATCCTTTATATCTGGACCAGCGGCATCTGTACAGGGCCAGTCTGGAGTGGAGGAAGTTCCCTAATTAAAACCCACTGCTAGAAATGTCTGCCCAGGGAACCGAGAGCAGCCATCTGGCTTTGTTAGCAAAGTGATAACACCAAGTCCAGATTAGATTTTTGTGAAGTAGAAACGATTGCAGAGCAGGTGCCAATAGCAAGACCCTGTTTCTTCCCCCCAACGAATGATGCCATCCCCTGTGACGTTAGACCCTAGGAATAGATGGAAGGTGAACTGTGCAACCAGCACATCTGCTCATGAAGATCTCAACCCTGTGCTTTCCAGTTGAGCAGGCTCCAGGAAGGAGGGGTATTTTGCTCTTGTTTTGAAAGGGACAAAGAAAATTCAAGACGCTTTATAACTCAATCTGACATTAGCAAAATGGGAGGGAGAAGAGGAATTTAGGACAAATGAAACCCTCTCTTTCTGTCCCACCCCAGGTATCTTTCCCTTGAGTCTTCATTGCGCTCATCACAAAATCCTGATCCACCCAAGGTCTGACTTTGAACCCCTCCAGGCTATATGGCTTCCTCTTCAGCTTTCATCTGAAAAGCTTTCTCTATTTAAGGGACGTGTGAGACCTGGTGGCCTCTTTCCAGTTCTCTTTTGAAATCATCTTTCCCAGGAAGAAGGGTGGACTGAGACCCTGGACAAGGGAAGTGAGGGGACTTCCTTTCTCTTTCCCTTAGTTACTTGTCATTCTCCTCCAACCCCCACATGCATGTCAGCTTTCTCTGAAAGTGTCGCAAAACACGGGGTTCTGCAAACCACTGGGGTCAAGCTTTGTTGTGGGAAGATACATATTCATGAAGGCTTTGAGGCGCTTCATTAATATGCGGGTAGTCTCTCCTTCCAGAATGGTTCACAAGCCATCGCTTTGTTTGCCCAACATGTTGTTCTTAAGGCAATAATTATGTGATGAAATGACTAAGGAAACATTTTAATTATTTGTTTAGGGTAATTTCTGATCATCTCATTAGAATTATAATTTGTTCACTTTTATAGGTGATTCAGAGCTTCTCACTCATTTAAATTTTCATACTTGAAGGAACTCTATATAAGCACCTGTGTCATTTCTGAAACCTAAGTAATTTCCTCTATTTCATTCTGCTTTGTTCCAGAAAGATTTGATCACCAGGAGGTTTTCCGGGACATTATCAAACCGGTCGTTTTCGGTAAGAAACACGAGTGAGCTTTTTACTTGGAGTGAGCTTTTGCTTCTGACACGTGAGGAATGGAATTGCTTCACTAGCAGGATGCCACACTGCAAATGGAACCCGGCAATTGTCCTGGTTCTTTGTTTCCGGGAACTGTGTGTGTGTGATTGAGTGTTCATCTTATCACTGGGAGTTTGAAGCTGGGGTTTGATTCCCACCCAAGGAGTGGATGAATGCTGGAATTCTCATTGGCCACTTATTTTCCCTGGAGCTGACACCTTTCCCCACACCCAGAACAACAGCAACTTATACTCACCCCATTCATTCCCCACACCTGCCCTGGGCTTTTCTTTAAATCAGTGTCCTCACTGGGCTCAGTCATTAATTTGTGTGATCCTAACCCAGATTCCCATTTACATTGAAAGTAGATACCAACAACAGATACCACTTGAAAACTTTTGCTATGTAAATGTGGGCACTCATTACAGGTTGAGCATCTCTTATCCAAAATCTGAAATCCAAAATAATTCAGAATAGATATTTTTGAGCACTATCATGAGAAGTTATGTTATTTAATCCCCAATCCTAAATACTCTGAAATATGAAATGTTTTCTGGGTCCAAAGCATTTTGGATGAAGGCTATTCAACCTGTAGCCTACTTTGAAAAGTCAAACACTATGAAGTATTAAGAAGCTAAGTATAAGAGGTTTAATTTGGATCAAAAAGAGGCCTCAGCTTGCTGAGGATGAAGGGTGGCTCTGAGTTGCTGTTGCCCTGTGAGTAAAGCTGTATTACCATCCTGATCACAGCCACAGTCAGCACTTGGCTTATTCTTATTCCGCAGGATCTATGGAGCACAGCCAAGGTGCTAGCTGAATGCTCAGCAAGGGGAAACTTGGAGGGGATGGGTTCTGGGTAGAAGCTGAATTGGCTCTTCTTCCAGGGCCAGAGGCACAGCAGGTGGGTTGGTTGTAGGGAAGCTGGTGTGTGGGTTGACTTGTGTTTGGAGAGTGGTTAGTAGAGGAGAAAGTTATTAGAGGCCAAGAGGCTGCAGCAGTCTTGGTCTCTGTGTCCTGATGCCAAGAGCTGGTCGGAGCCTAGGATGGGTTTGGTGGGTTCTTATGGATTCATCTGCTGGGCTTGGATGGGTTCACCATCCATAGTCATACATAGGGTAGTGATGGCTTTGGGATTCACAAAGGAGAGGAAAACTTTGGGTGTCCCAGGGAAAGCTCTGTGCTACTTCTGATAGAGATGAAGACTACCACCAGGGGCAAGAACAAGATTCTGGAACTTTAAGAACTGGGTTCAGAACTGCTCTTTTACCTCTAGGGTAGCAGGAGCCCATAGGTCTTGCTATTGGAAGCAAGCTAAACCTATTTTTGTTTGTTTTATAAAGCAGGCAGCTTCATTTAATCCAGTGTCTATCTTATGTCTAGGTGGCCACTCATAATCCCTGTGCTGCCCATGGGTAGGAATTCCCTTGCATCAAACCGGGGAGCCTTCTTGTCACAGATGCCCTGGATAATAGGTTCTGTGTGAATCTTGTCTGGAGCACACTCATAAGGCACTTAATAGTTGTAGAGCAATCAGCTCCTGTCCAAGGAAACAGAGTGTGAAACTTCAGAGGAGTTGCCTGGTTTCCAATGGGTCTGGGCTGTTTTGAACTTTTCCTATTATTGGTTTTTAAAGTTTGTGGATTTACTTTTGTCCTCACCACAGGCCTATTCGGTTCCCTTTGATTCTCTATTTAGAGTTGCGAACACACTGCAGTTTTAACTTCGTCAGATACATCAACAAATCTCAGCTCTGAAAATGCCAAAGAATTTGAGTGGATTCTGTCAAGGGAGAAGATTTTCTTTGTCACACAGTGAGGGCAGCTTGTGAAGGGAGGAGATGTTACTTGTGGGGAAGCAGTCTCACCAATTACACTGAAGTCCTGCACTGCTGGGAGCATAGGGTCAAACCCATAGCCCAACTTTTCCACCCTCTACGAACTTTCCACTATGAAATTGGCCTCTTGAATTTTTCCTTAATGAACTGAGATGCCATTGCATTCTGATGGAGCCATGGGAAGTTCAATTTGTACCTCTAAGGAATAAGTTTTCTTTCTTTCTTCCTTTTTTTTTTTTTTTCCGCCCCTGAGCCTGAAATACTAATAAAGGATCAAAATCAGTTGGAATAGACCAGACACTGTGCTCTCTTCCTGATTGCTCTCACCCATCTGCAGTGTAATAGGCCCATCATTTAAGTGAATATGCTTATCACAATTCTCTATAGCTTCCCTGCAGAAAAGCATATTCCTTCTTGAAAAGAAAAGTGGCAATGAAATGGATATTTTAAAATGTCAATTATGCCAGAATGAATCTCTGTGAGGAGATCTGCAAAGAGAAGAAAAGGCCTGGGTTTATTTATTTTTCTACTGCAAACGGAATTATTCCGTAACCATTCTGTAACTTCAGAATACTAATACTCACCGAGTGCCTGATGTCATCTCAAAAAATAATCTTATGAATATACTTCCACCTCCATGAAAACTTAGAGGATCTTTTCTATTTTTTTAATAATTAAATTCTAGATCTCATTATTTTATGTATCAGTCCTGTTAGCTCTGGTCTGTAAAATGTGAATAGTGAACTATATAAATTCAGTCATTATCCTAAAAGGAATGATGGAAAGACTAACTGTGTTTAAATCATGGCAAGACTCAGAAAATATATGAAGTGAGAGGTTGTGGCATTCATGAAGTTGCTGACTGATGTGATATCATCATGTTCCTACCCCAGTACAGACACATATAAATGCTGTGTGAAATCCAGCCAAAATGTTTTTAAAAATCTAAGATCCAAAGAAAGGCACAGAAATTCCCAGCTACTATGCCAAGAGAAAACACAGAGCCAGAGCACTGAGGGAGGAAGATATAAGACCAGGGCAGTGGGCTTTCTGATGAAGGGCAATGATGATTAAGACTGTGTGATATTTGACTATGTGTAGCCAGGGGGACAGGTAGGAAAAGGTAGTGGCTTAAGGTGTCATATGTATGGGAATCTGGATGTAGCAGACATGTATAATTGACCAGGTGGGAAATGATACATAACTGAATGACCACATGAGAGAAGATAAAATGAAATAAAATGAAATCCCTGCTTCACAGCATATGTACATACAATGCTCAGAAAATTGTAGACCTAAATGTAAAAAGCAAAATGGTAAAACACACAGAATATATTTCCTGTATGTTGTGTGCTGTCTCTCTCTCTCTCTCTCTCTCTCTCTCTCTCTCTCTCTCTCTCTCTCTCTCACACACACACACACACACACACACACACACACACACAAACACACCCCCCCACAGTATAAAAGAAAAGACCAATTAATTAAATAGCAGTATTAGAAACTTTTTAAAGATAAATACAAACAGGAATAAATATGCATAATGGAGATTTATTATAAGATATGGTATACTGGCTGTGTGTAAAGAATTCTTTCAAATCAGTATGAAGATAACAGAGTTTTTAAAAATGAGCAAATTATATAAAGAGAAGGAGGAGTGGGGGAGAGGAGGGGAAGGAGAAGCAGAAGAGGAGAGGGAGAAGGAGAAGACTAAAATGGCTAATAGCCAAATGCACTGTGCCTCACTTCTAATCAGGGAACTGCCACTTAGCAATGAGATACCATTCACATCTATACGTTAGCAAATAATTGTTCTCCAAAGAGGAGCATTTCATAAGGTGGAAATGTGAGTTCCCCATGACTTAGCAATTTCATTTATGTTAGTCAGATTTCCATCACTGTGACAAATACCCGAAATAAGCCAATTTATATAGAGGGAAGGTTAATATTGCCCACGGTTTCAGAGGTTTCAGTCCATGGTCGCTTGGCCCTGTTGCTTTTGGGCCTGTGGAGTCACTGCATCATGGCGGGGGGGTGTGTGTGGCAGAGCAGGTAGCTCACCCATGGCAGCTGGGAGTCAAAGAGAGGGAGGAAGGGGCACGGGTCCTGATATCCCCTTCTAGTGCACATCCCCAGTCACCTAACGTCCTACCACCAGGACCTACATCCTAATGGTTCCATTAACTCCCAGTAGTGCCACAGGCTGGTGACTGTTCAGCATATGGGCCTCTGGGGACACTTAAGACAGAAACCATACCACCACTCATGAGTGTACATGCCTTAGCTGGCCATGAAATGGATTTGGTGGTCTATTAATCATCTCCAGTATAGGATCTACCTATCTTAGGATAGATCGATCTATCTTAGGATCCATCTACCAGCTACTTGTCTATCAACAGATTTATGATAACATATTGACTCATGTGATTATGGAAGCCAAGAAGTCCCATGATTGGCCTCTGCAAGCAGGCGGCCCAGCAAAGTCAAAAGTGACATTCAAAGGCCTGAGAGCCAGAGAGCTGATGGTATAGATTCTAGTCCAGGGCTGAAAGCTTGAGAACCATGATCATGGAGGGCAGGAGATGCTTGATGGCCTAGCTCAAGCAGTAAGGTAGAGAGTAAACTCAACCTTCGCCCACCGCTTTGTTCTAGTCAGGGGCTCACTGGACTGGATTAGCCCAGCCACACTGGGAGGGCCACCTGCCTTGACTAGCCTACCAATGCAAATGCTAATCTCTCTCAGAAGCATTCTCACAGATATACCCAGTAATCATGTTTAACCAGATTTTCTGGGCATCCATAGAAAATGGTCCAGTTAAGTTAACACATAAAATTAACAATCGTATGAATGGATAAAAAAAAAATGTGGCATATATGCACAATGGAGTATTACTCAGCAATAAAAGAGAATAAAATCATGGCATTTGCAGGTAAATAGATGGAGTTAGAGAAGATAATGCTAAGTGAAGTTAGCCAAACCCCAAAACCAAATGCTGAATGTTTGGTTTGATATAAGGAGGGGATTCATAGTGGGATAGGGAGAGGAGCATGGGAGGAATAGACAAACTCTAGATAGAGCAGAAGGGTTGGAGGGGAAGGGTGGGGGCATGGGGTTATTAATGAT